AGGACACTAATCCTAGTGGATCAGAACCTCATCCTTTGGGCTTCATTTATCCTTAATTACTTCCTTAAAGACTCCATCTCCAAATACAACAACACTGAAAAATTGGGCTTTAACTCGTGGATTTGGGTAAACACAGACATTCAGTCCATAAAAGGCTCCGTGCAAGCCAGTAGGAATGGACTGGCCTGCTGTCCCAGTGTCAGCCCAGGAGGCTTCAGGCCATGAGGGTCTCCCAACCTAAAATAGTCATGCTTGCTTATTAGTGGTTTAGCTGCGTTTTTTTATCACCTAGAGGGAGAATTCAAAGTAGAATGTTGTAAGAGGTTAAAACCGAGACAAAGGTCTTTTGTTTTCTTTATTCCATTTGAGAGGTAGAAAATCACAAAGAAAAGGAATTTCTGCAACCTATTACAGGAAGACACAACAACCATATTGCTGATCGGGTGTGAGGCTCAGTCACAGATTCCAATTCTGACGTGTACATTGTGACCTCTTAACAGTCACAGGGCCTCTCTTAAGCAGTTCCCTCAACTCCAGCACTTACTAAAGCCACTGTGCTGAGCACAGCCTGGCACTGACATTGTGGAGCATGCACCATCATGGCACCTGTGACATGTCTCATTGCTATAACACAACGGTCAGAGAACGTGATCCTCCCTATGTGGGAGTGACTCATGCGTATGACATGCATCTCCTCCATGTGCAGGAGAAATCAGCCCGACATTTGCAGAGTATAATTTAGAGTGCTTTAAATGCTTCTGAAGTTACACCTAATTAGTAGACAAATTATGGGCCTATCACACAATAATTTTATTTATTTAGAAATAATACCATATAGTACTCTCCAAGCACATTATATACTTTATAAAACATGCCCCAAAAGAGAACTTAGAAACAGTTAAGATTTAGAATAAATAAAAATTGAAAAGTGGAGACTGTTGGGCGAAATAGACAAAAGAATGATTTGCTGGGCTTTATTTTAGGGCACACATTGTTCTCATCAATTGAAGAGGAGAAATAGCTGGGCATTTTCACTCCAAACTGAGTCCCAAGGCCAGCTGATATGAGACAGCAGTGAGCAAATCCCAGGTCTACCAGTGACTCACTGTGGCCTTGGCAACTGAACTTCTCCATTTCCTCACCTATAAAATGAAATGATAACTATACCTATCCTAGGATTATGGTGAAAATTAAGTGAGGTAACATGTGGGAGGTAATTCATTGAACAAGATCCCAGGAAATTACTGCTGCTTTTAATTCTGGGACACTGCACAGGCCACTTTTCTGCTCAAAGCCTAAATTATCCTACCTGCAAAATGCAAGGAGCAGCACTTCTACTTTGCAGAGTTTTGTGAGGATTAAAAGAGATCACAAATAATGTAGTAGCCTGTCTTTCACATTTTCAAGTGCTGGATAAAAGTTAGCTCCCTGTGCCAGTCACCTGGACTTCCCACCCTCAGTCCCAACTAAAATAAGAAGCTAAAACACCACAGTCATCTTGCCATTAAGTCTCAAGGACAGCTCAAGAGCTGGATTGTATGGCTTCTCTCCCATGCCTGAGCCACACATGACATGTGGTGAGTCCTTGCTTCTGCTGCGTCCTGTGGACAACAGGACTGGACTCAGAGCATGTGGGCCCTCAGCACCATGGCTGAGAAAGCCATTAGCAGGAATAGACTGCAGAGAAGGGTTATTCCAGCAGAAGGTCATGTTCCTCAAACTATGTTCTTGGGATTTTCAAATACCCCTTCCTCTCACCTCCCCTAAACCTATAGTTTTAACCTGTTTTCCCATTTCAGTAAGTGATCCCAGCATCCCTCCAGCTGCTCAGTCCAGAAATGAGGATTCACCCTTGACCTCTCGATTCCTCCCAGATTCATCTAATGATGTGGTGGTGGGGGGTTTGTTTGTTTTGTCCCATATCCCATCCATAGCAAGTCCCAGAGTGTGCCCCTAATGGACATGGGTCCATTAACGCCACAGCTATACCCTAATCTAAATCACTAGTATGTTTCCTCCAAAAACACTGCATAAGCTCTCAACCAGCCTTGGGGCTCTTCTCCAGCTATCTCCAAACCATTCTCCAAGGAGCCAAAAGAGATCTTTTCAAAACATTAATCAGAAGTCAGACTTTCTTAAAACTCTCCAGTGGCTTCCCCAGCCCTTAGAATAAAATTCAAATTCCTTATCATAATGACAGGGCACTACATGGATCTAACAACTCCTGCTCTCCAACCCTCTGGCCCCATACAGTGTCTTCTCACCCCATTGGCACTCTGCACCCATGGTCCTTTGTCACTGCTGTCCTTTCTCTGGAGTTCCCTGGAGGTAAAAGGTAGTCTCCATGAGAGGCCTTCTCTCACCACCCTGAATAAATAAATGTTCTGTCCTTTGATCAAGCTGCCTGTTACCCTATTTTATTGTGTTTGGTGTTCATTGACTATCTTCCCACTAGAATGTATACTCCATGAGGGCAGACAATTCATTTCATTCTGGGCTATATCCTCACAACTTAGAACAGTATCTGGTGCGTAGTCAGTGCTCAATAAATATCCATTGAATAAAGAGCATCCTCTAATTTCATATCACCCCACACAAAAGGGGGGGCAGCAATTTTGCAGAATTTAGAACCTTCCACAATATCCTGAGCTGATGAAAATAATGCCATGTCTCCTAAACTTTTTCAATTCTCTGACTAAATAGGAAAGTGTTCTTGGGATTCTAAAAGTTCTACAGTTATTTTTTTAATTTTTCTATTGTCCTGACAACTGAAAACAATTCAGATGAATATATTCTAGAACATTCTAGATCACAGCTAAGCACAGTTATAGAATTCATTCCCTCTGGTTTGCTATTATCCATCCTGGTGGGGATAGGGTGGGGTTCTGCTCCTGGAAGAACCTACATATCTACTCACATCAAATGCATCCACTACATCCAACTTTAGCGAAAATAAAGACCAGTGGTTTTTTACTTTACAGAATAATTCAGAGTCATAGCAACAATGGTTTAAAATGTTAGGGGATTTTGTTACTTGTTTAATCTTTTTTAAAATTAATGTTTGGGGAAATAACACAGATGTACATACACTTCTTCCCATTGAAAGAAAATAGATTAACTAGCCCCTCAACTAGAGAAAATGAGTTCTCTAAGTTTGCCCTCGGAATGTCCCTGTGACCATTAATGGGTAATGGCATTTCTAGGGCTGTGTTGGCTTCTGGATGATTATGTTTTAAAATGACTGTCTGCCTCTCTGTAACACAAAGATTATATATTTACTTGAAGCATTTATCTTTTGTTATAAAAATTAGTTTTTGGCAGCTTTTGAGAATTCCAGTATCTGGGAAGATATTTAGTGTTATGAGAGCAGGTGATGCCAAGAGACTAAGTGATCATCATCCCAGGGAATGGAGAACAGAAGGGGCCCTGCTATTGTTACAACTGGAGGCAGAGGTGTAAAGGGGTAGAGCTCAGGATAGCCCCACCCTGCCATTACAGGGTCCATGATGTTGGGCAAGTTATTTAACCTCTCTGTGCCTTGGTTTCCTTATCTTTAAAATGGGAACAATAGCGGTACTTATCACATAGGGTAGTTTTGAAAATTAAAGCTTGTCAGTGAAGCTAGCACACAGTGATACTCAGTAAGTATTAAGTGGGTGACATTTGTTCTTGATTTGCTCAGGCTCTTGGTTTCTTCCCCTTATTCCTTTTGGAACCCAGAAGGGGTTTGTTGCTATGTGGGTATCTTGTGCAAGAAGCCATTTATTTAGTGGCTGTGAATAACAAAGCGAACAAAAGGCCAAAGGCCACATGACTTGCCCACCGACTAGCTGCACAATTTTAGAAAGCTCTCTTAACCTCTCTAGCTTTTTTCCTTCTTTAAAAGAGAAATCACGATGCTTGGAATAGGAATATCCTTAAAGGTTTAAAACATTATTCAAATGAAAATATATTACTATGGGCAAACTGGAATGCACACATGGGAAGTCATGAAGATTTGTAAGGTATTCATTGCTGATGTGTCTTTTCTGTTGGAGATGCATTTAAATTCTGCTGTGAGCATCACCCCATCCATTTTAACACATAGTCTCTGTGAAGGAAACACATTACATCCACCTCTAATGGTGAAGGACCACTGCCCACATCACAAAGCTAAATAAAGGTTTGGTACAGAGAACATGCCCCATCAACTTTGTTTTCCGTGTCCTCACCAGGTGTCACCAACACATCACCATCCTGGGGGCACAGGAGAGCAGAGACAGCACAGTCACACGGTCTTGTCCTCCCCGCCCAGGGGGATGGTCAGCCTAAGGTATGAAACTCCTCGTCTCAAGAGAATTAACTGAAACATAGAACAGCAAGAAAAAGAGAAACCAGAGACACGACCTTCCATAAAATTTCCCTATAATGGATGAGACATGCTTTCTTTTGAACCCATGGTTTTCCCCATCCATTAACTATGAGGGAAAAGTTGTTGTTGTTGTTGTTGTTGTTGTTGTTGTAACAGTTTGCAGTAAGCTTTGTTAGAGAATAAGCCATGGAGATTGCTGGATCTACTTAAAGTCACATTGCATTAACCACTGTATTAAATGAACCACAAGATATTCTAATCCAGATCAAGGAGCACCTCCTGGGATTCCCTTAACTGGGATGGTAGACACTTGAGAAATGAGACAGAGCTTGAAAATACATCTTTAAAAACTTGAAACAGAAATGCTCTCTGCTGGTCTTTCTCATTGTACGTGTTTAACTCACTGTTGTTCAGATGGCCAAGATCATGTCCGCAGGTGGACAAGCAGATGCTTAAGAGTTAGAGAAGCCAGTGGTAGCCGCCCCGGACAGTGGCCAGGAAACCACCCAACATATGTGAAAGCCTGACCTGGAGAGGGCTCTGCTGTGTTTCCTAGCTTCTTTTCTCCATCTTTCGAGGGATTTTGAGCCATCAGTGAAATGCCCATTGAGTTCCTCCCACTGACCATTCTGTCCTCACCTGTCTGCAGGAAGCCTCGGGGAGAAGGCAAGAAGTGTCGGAAGGTGTATGGCATGGAGAACCGAGACCTGTGGTGCACGGCCTGCCGCTGGAAGAAGGCCTGCCAGCGCTTCCTGGACTGAGGGAGAGCAGTAATGGGGTCATGGCCACCCGGTCACAGCCACTGCAGTATCACCCCACCCTCGCCTCCCACAGCAGCTTTTGGGAAAGCACTCTTCCTTCTAAACAAAACACACCTGGAGCCCAGGAAAACACTTCCAGGAACCTTAGTGGACTTACAGCAAAAAAAGAAAAGAGAAAAGGTCACACAGTCACTGATCTGTTCGGAATCCTGCCTAGAGCAGCTGTTACTAATTTTCTCTGTGTGTGTGACAAGGAAAGTTAATTTGCTTTGCTGTGTGTCTAGGTCTGAAAACTGGGCTTCCATAGCCATGGAATCAGCCAAGCCCATTTTACATAGAAAGTAGGCTTATTTTGATAAGCTTTCTGAAAAATGCCATTTCTGGCAGGGGCGGGAGGGTTGACACACAAAAAAGCTACATGTGATTCTGTAGCATTTGTACAAAGAACAATACCCACTTTTGTGTGAGTAGTCTTTTCCCCATTTCCATTTGACTTCTTGGGGCAGCTCTCTGGGTATCTTTTCCATGTCTTTCTTGTTTGTTTGTTTTATTTTGAAGAATGGCCCTAAAATGGCAGCGCTGTGGGTTTGTAGGGCCCTGGATGGCGGAAACTTGAAAAGAGGTTGACTGAACTCACCAGCAGACTTCAGCTCCAAGCTGGGCTCAGGACATCCAGCTGTCACCGATGGGAAACACCTAGAAGTCTTCCCACAATCTGTAAGAAGCCCTTCCCCAAGCAGCTCCTTCTCTGCCTGTGAAACTCAATTGAGAACGGGTGTGTGGAGCCCTCTGGGTAAGCCTGGCGCTTCTTTCAGGGATGTGATATGAACTGCAGCTGAAATCTGTGTCACTGCTTGTCTGAGAAAGCCATTGCCAGTTCTATGGGTCATTGAGCTTTCCCTCAAAACTCCTCACTGTCTAGTCTGAGAAAAGGTCAAGAACTCAAACTGTCCCTGCAGGTTTGCTTTATACAGCAGAGCACAGCCTCTGTGTCTCCATCTGATCAGAAAACCACGTGAGGTCAATGGACCAACCTCTAGTCTGAGTGCACTTGGGCAGGTTTTATGCTTTAGCGTGTCTGGGAGATGGGTTAATGAATAATCTAAATATTTTATGGGTAAAGGGAAGATCCAAACTTATTTTTCTTGTAAAAATAGTGGAGCTATTAATTAAGAATTGGCTCAGAAGGGAACATAGAGAACACCAAAAGGAAAATGCACATCGGTATAGGATGCTCTTGACTTAGTAGGACAAGGCTTGTACTGTGTTCTGTTTATTAAGCTTCCTAACCTGGTTGGTTGGTTGGTTTTTTGGTGGTAGTGGTGTGGGGAGAGAGGAATAGCCGTCAAGCCCTTTAAATTCCTACCCTTCTCTCGATTGCCCTGCTAGAGAGCTATTTCTCCTATACCTATGCAAAGAGGTACAAGCACCTTATAGGATGCACTGTTGGGACGGGAGCCTAGGATCAGCCATAGGACTATTAAAGGAAATTGCACAGAGGAAAGTTTAATATATGTCTAGAGACTGTATATACACCTTTGTTTAAAGAGCAGAAAGAAGTCATCTAGTGATAACAGATTATATATATACACGTGTGTGTGTGTGTGTGTATACACATATATATATATGGTTCTGTAATGTAATATCCACAATCTACATTGTTATATTTTGGCAACTTGATTTTTTAAAATTCTCATCTGACTTTTTAAACATTATTCCCTAGAACAGATCCTATTTTGCTCCTTCATTTATTTTTTATTTAAAAACACTTATTCCAAGAAAATAGAAAAAGAGCTTTATTTAATTTCACATCACGATGCTCTGTTAGCATTCACCATGGCATCAGCTGTCATGTATGTTTAGTATTTATGAGGTCAGCCAAGAAAGGGTATTCCTTTTAAGTAGAGAGATGTTTTTGCATCCTCTACCCTAGCAGGCCTTTTCTCCTCCCTGGTGACCTGTCACTTCACCTGTAGGCACTGTCTGTCTGCTGTGAGATGGTGCTTTGGCCAGGTACAGGGCCCTGAGCTGTAGGGGGAGTGCCCAGTGAGTCCAGGGCTGATCACCTATTTGAGCAGGTTCACCATGTACTTAAAAGGTGGTTGGGCTACAACCCTGGAGCAGATTTTTTTCTCTTCAGCAGAGCTCACTGGCTCTTGATCCTTGGATTAAATCACTAATCAAAAATGATTATCATGATGAGGGGCTAAATTTATCCCCCCAACACACAGAGAACTTTTGGACATAGGAAGGAGAGACTTTTGCTGTGGAACAACCTTTGGACCAGGCTCTGGCTCTCCTGCAGAGACATGGGACACGAATAGTTCTGAACTCTAGCCTGGATTTTAGCCAAATGCACCAGTAGGAGCAGAACGTAGAGCTGCATGTCCTTCCCTGGGGGTTCTTTGCCTTTCTAACAACTTCTTTACACATACCCTCCCAAGTCTCCTGCCACATGGGGGCTCCTCCCTAACCATACAGACACCCCTTCCCTGTACAAAGGCACATGATAATGAGGGGGCCACCAAGCTTCACCTGGCTGACCTTGAAAAAAGGAATTCAATTTCTTAAAGGCCTCCTAGCAAGTTATGAATTGCAATATACAACACTGATTGTAAAAGCTAAATTTTAAAAATGTAGAGCTATTTTGTTATACTTTGGACTAAACAAAGTGCCAAATTAAGCCCAGCATTCATTTATGACATCTCTGGGGTACCATGTTCTTTTATGTTCTCTCACTTGGCTGAAGGAGGAAGGTGGTGGATGGGAAGTGGTATCCCACAGCATGTTGGCTGCTGACCTGGAGCCCTGTCCCTCACAGGGACCGTAGAGACCTGTCTGCAACAGGAAGGCAATGCAGTGGGTTCTGGTCCTAAAATATTTCTAAGTAAGGCTCATCATAGCCTCAACTTTTCTCTCCCTTGATATTCCTTCCTTCAGAAAACATTTCTCATCTCTCTCCAAAGAAGACATATCATAGTGATGGACAGGTATTGTGCAGATAGCCGCGCAGTTAGAGAGAGAGTCATCAGGCAGTAGCTGGAAGCCTTAGTCCAAGGCTGTCCAACATGTGGCCCGCGGGCCGCGTGCAGCCCAGGAAGGCTATGAATGCAGCCCAACACAAAATTGTAAATTTACTTTTAAAACATTAAGATTTTGTTTGTGTGATTACATGTCACAATGTATTTAATGTGTGGCCTAAGACAACTCTTCTTCTTCAATGTGGCCCAGGGACACCAAAAAGGTTGGACACTCCTAACCTTAGTCCTTCCCAGGGGACGTGCACCCAAGTTGTGGGAGGCAGTATGACAACTTGGAGAAAGTAGCAAGAGGGTAGAAGACGTAAGAATAAACACAAGAGGCCCGTGGGCACCAGGCTCCCACCGCTTAGTGCTGACCAGCCACTGGTGGCTGTCCTTGGGCCACTCTGCGGGAGCAGCCAACTGGAGCAGGCAGGAAGTACCCTGATGAGGCCGGTGTCCACACCTGTGAGAACAGCCCACTGCCTCCTTCAGCAGACTTCCTTGGAAATGAAAGCACAGCTTTCACTTGAGAATGTTTAGAGAAAAGTGGGAAGACTTGTACATTTAGGAGAGGATGCCTTGAGAATAGTAGCAAGATACTATAAATAATATTCATTTCCTCAGGGAAAATTAAAGGGCATGTGAAAAATAGAACTGGAGGAGCTTAAGATTAGAAAGACTTATTATCTCTGGAGTCTACTAGTCAGAAAAGTGTTTGTTCTTTTGTTTTTTTGTTTTTTTCGTGAACATGATGTTATTTCAAGAACAAAGTTACATGAACTGCACAGGACCAACTTTTTTGAGGCTGGGGGATGCTGTATAGAAGAGCTGATTTTCTGTGGCTGAGCTGTGGTCAAAGGATGGTGTGTGGACCACAGGCACCATCCTGGGTTTGTGTCCACAGGCACATAGAAGACTTTCTAAGAATGTAATTGTGAATATGTAGCCTTGACATTCCTTTCTCTCCTCACTGGTGGGATGACTAGTTCTTAGCTATGAGCAGAAGCCCCTAGGGGAAGGCTGTGATAGGAAGTTAAAGGAGCAAACCTCCATGGACTTTTCTGGGCAAGGTGCTTTTTCTCATGACCCTTTAGAATTTCTCTTGACCATGTAGCAGTGACCTGGGTGTGCACAAAGAATCTGCGCACACAAATGAGTGTAAACATGGCAGGATTCAAGGGTATGGGTAGGGGTGTGGAACATTTTGGAGAAGGGGCAACTGCAAATTTCATTTCTCTAAGAAAATAACCCTCCTAGCCATGGATACACACACTCTTCCTGCTCCTTATACCTTTGGGGATCCTCTCTGTGGGGCTCCTCCATATGGAAACTGTTTCTTTAGTCTTTTTCCATTGTAACTAGTTGAACCACAAGTCAGAAAATAAAATGCGATCAGCACTTTGCGATACCAGTTGTATCGCCAGTCCAGCAAAAAAGTATAAGACATATTTCATTGCAACGGACTTTGAGCCCATATCCAATGGTCTAGGTTAGGGGTCCCCTGGGCATGGACTGGTACCCTTCTGTGGCCTATTAGAAACAGGGCTATAAGATAAGCTCACCTGAGCTCCACTTCCTGTCCCCTGTCCTCAACTCCCCACTTTCCACACTCCCGTCCATGGAAAAACTGGTCTCTGGTGCCAAAAAGCTTGTGGACTGCTGGTCTAGATCAGTAATTTTCAACATTTTTCATCCCATGGAACACATACACTAATTACTACAATTTTGTGGCACACCAAAAATATATTACATTTTTTGCCGTTATGAAAAAAAAGTGGTATAATTTTGATTCATTCACACCAGATGCCTATTGTTGTGTTGGCTGTTGTCATTTTTTTATTTGACAGTCTAACAGAGAAGAGGTCAGTGCCCCTAACTAAATAGTAAGGTACTGCATGTTTTAAAAATTCTTGCAACACACTGGTTGAAAATTGCTGGTCTAGATGCTTTAAAAGGTGTATCTATCATAGGACCAGCATTCAAAGTGGGAGTTTTACTTGTGGTCTTGATTGTAAATAGTTCCTTTTTTTTAAGACAATCTCATATTTTATAACTTCTCTTGTGCGTTTGAGAATCACAATGGTAATGTATTGTACTGAAATGTAATCCGAAATACAATAACAATTACAACTTAATTTTCCAAATAAGAAGAGAAATACACTGCTAGGCTTCTACAATTCTAAGAGACATACCACTTTTATAATAAGTATTAGTACTTAATTTCTCAAGTTAATAGAACTAGAGATATTTTATGAGATGCAGTGTTTTGTAATCACAAAGAACATGAACATTTTGTGGGAAATGACCTTGGTTTTATACATTGTAGCTTATTTTTTAAAAAACAGTATTTTATCAGACAAGAAGTGTTAATATTATAAGCAATTCTTGCTCTCCAAACAAAGGGCTATGTCTCTTTTAAGCAAGTGTTTCGATGCATATCTTTTCAGTTAACCCTCTGCAGCGGAGGGTAGAAATGTAGATCAGATGGAAAGATTAATACCAGAGAATCAAGATGACAACAGCTACTCCTTTTATCATTAACAGTGTGTTTTCAAAGTATTGTGGGGGGAAAAGACACTTTAAGAATCATCCTATGTATCTTAAGTCTAAAAAGTATTAATAGACATGCTTATAGACAATGGGAGAAATACTCTTGTAAATTTTTTAGTGTAAAACAATAGATTCTGCCACACACAGAAGCTTACCAGTCAACCTACCAGAACCACAAACCTGCATTTAACTAGCAAGTATCATTTGGTAGAAATTTCTAAAATTCTACAATGTAAGCCCAAAGGTAGAATTCTTAGGTGATTGGTGATGTTTAAAATAATTTTCTCTTCAGCACCAACTAAACTTTCATTTCCTTATCAGATCAAGCAATTGATTTTTTTAGAGAAGAATTCAGACACACCAGGTTGGGATCAGAAAGTCACAGTATTCCCAGGAGCTGGGAAATGAGGAAGGCATCCATGTAGAGTTTATTAACTGCACAATAATTTTGAGCTTTTCCACACCATTCACAGTGCTGTAGTTGTTAGTTTGTTTGTTTTTAATCCCACTCACTGTTAAAGCAAGAAAGTATCTTGTCTTTCTAAGATTTCATTCATTCAAAAGCTGGACCCATTAGCAGGTATGCAGATAACATCAAAAGAAAAGCTGAGATAGAATGGTCACATACCCATTAAGCAACTCCTGTGAGATGGTCAGAGGGTCACTCAGACCTTGCTTTCAGGTGGGCTTTAGAATCTGTACACATGAGGACTAGAAATGCGTGGAGTTAGGGGAGGACTGTAAACCTCGTCTCCTGGTCCTTGAGATGAGCCAGTCTAAAAATCTCTGTCCCTTCCCCTGGAATATCTCTGTTGTTAGCATTAAAGTTCCCAAGAAACATTCCTTGCTGAATGGTTTTGAACCAAGTGAGTCTTGCTTCATTTTTAAGTAGAAGCTTTCTAATGAGCAGACACATTAGAAGGGCCAGGCAAGTTGTGAATGAATGATTCAGATCGGGCAAAAGATGGGCACTAGAGAACGGTGGCGATCATGGTAAACGAGAAAAAACACATCCCCTCTGAAGGGGAGGCCCAGCCGTATACAGTTGGAACTTTGCAGAAATCAGGCCCAGGGTGGCTTGACCTTCTGATTTGGAAATGATTTTACCTGACATTTAAGTGTTGACAAGTAACTCCGATTCTTGGCCAGCACTGTGCAGACCAAATGAACCTGTACGCGGGCAGATACAGCCTCTGACCACCAGATCCAGCTGTTGGGGAGCACAAAGTTCACATTCCACAGCCATCAGTCAAGTTCCTCCATCAGCCCTCTCCCCTGCCACACACACACCTTGGCACTATCAAGACAACTAAAGTCAAGGAAGGGAAAGAGGTCAGTTCTCCCCAGAAATCATTCTCATGGAAGACTTGAATATAGAAATATAATGTCCTTTAACTAGCCTTGCCTCTGATCAAAACATACTGAAGTCTTCCCCAGCTCTCGCCCTGCTTTCTTGTGGTATGCCCAGGCCATGCCCCAGAGCGTGGAATAACTGTAATCCTAACTTCCTTAGTGTTTTCGCTGCCGTGATCACTGTGATGAGGGGCTGGCAAGGAGCAGCCTTGTGCCTTCAGAGAAGGCAGCTGGGAGCCCCCAGAGTTTAAGACAGCACATGCAGCCACCTTGTGCTGAAGCCCTTTGCCAGCCCCTCCACACTCCTTTCCCCTCCTTCCTGCCTTGTGACTTTTTGTCCCAGGGTTTCACCTCTAATATGGCAAAATCCTCGCTTAAAAACTGGTACTTACTTGGTTATTTTAGAGTGCCCACTGACCTCAGAATGGAATTTTTCCACACAGAAATCTATAGCATCTTTATTTGAGGATGAATACAAAATAGGAATAAATGTGTTACTGGAAAAATTAGATGGCACTTCCTTCATTTGGATGGATGGACTAAAGGATTTTAGGCCATATCTTCTACCAGAATCCTGACGGTGGTGAGACAATCACATTTATAATAAAGTACGTCTCTTTCAGATTCATTGTGTTATTTAAACTTCCTAAGAACCAAGTGGAGAAAAGGGATATGTAGGGTCGCCATCACCCACCTCCAAGGCTAACCTGGAGTGATCTTGAATCTGGGACTCAGCCTTGTGCCTTCCTGCAAGTTCAAGGGCAAGGGCTAAATAAAGCTCAGACTTTACTCTTCCAGGACAAACCCAGACCTGAGAAAACCCAGTGACCCACCATGTTCTCAACCCATTCTTCCAATCCAGTTTTCTCAGCATAGAAGAGCCCATTCACTCATGTTGTCAAATACAAACAAATCATCTCCAAATGAAAACTAAGGAAGCACCATGCTGCATTCCCTAAGTTCCAACCATGTAAGTAGTCATTATAGGAGTTGATTAGCTAACACAAGTAACAGTTTAGACTCCTTGGGAAAAGCTATTTTACTACTAACATTCAACATTCATTATCCATGTAAACTTAAATTGATGCCAAGAAATTTTAAAACAGCTCAGATTTATAATGTGTAGGGACCCCATCAAAAAGTACTATTAACTCCAAGTTGGAAACATCGGGGAATCTGGTTAAGTCATGTTTAAATATGAATGCAATTTAAAAAGCTCCGGTGATGCCTGAGATTTCTGTAACTATGAGGGGTGCCGAGGTGGTCTGATACCTGAATGGATTTCATGCCACCCGTCTCCATTAGTTTACCAGGTCTCACATCCAGGATAGACACTCACAGGGAACTAGAAAAGACCAAAACCATTCTGGCCCACCTCCTACAGCATTAACAGGCTTTTCGATACATGTTTCTAAAGCAATAATACAGAGCTGGAGCAGGACACAGGGGAGCCCTTTCCTCCTCTGCTGGAAAAGAAGCCTGTTGTGCAGTGGGTGGCAGCAGTGCTATGACAATGGCAGGACTTAGAGGGACACAAGCTGTAGGGAACAAGAAAAAAGCTACTCCTCTGAAAGGGGATAATGATGTACCTGAAAGAAGGTGGAAATCATGAACTCAATGCTTAAATTGTAGTCCTTGTTTTTTAAAAATATTCTTTTATATTGGATGCCATCCATATATTTAACTGCCACCATCCAAAGAAAAGATTGCCTTCATTTGTATTATGAAACTGTTAAAAATTAATTCTCAAGTCTACTTAACTACAGGTCTCCCCCACTGTCCAAAGGTAGAGTGAGCTTATGAAACTTTTTATAAACTGAATCAGTAATGTGAAGCCCTATGTTAGAGTAAGGTGATGGCTTTTTTTCTCAAAAACAAAAACCCTCTTTGGATTTCTTTTGATCAGCAAAAACAGGTGTCAATGTAAGGGCTTTTGTAAAAACCAAGTGGCCAAAGGCAAACTTTTGAAATTGGGGGTGAGGAGGCATGTGTATTACATTCACTTAGAGAGTGATTCCCCAAATTTTTAATTCAGAAAATTAGCAAGAGTACAAAGTAGCACCTCCTGGTGAAGGCAAAGTGAGTTGTCATGAAAAAGCAAACTTCTCTTAAAAATAAAAAAGAGCTGCTCGTCTATTTTCTTATGCATTCTCTCTGTACCTCTAACTAAAGAGGAAAACCAGCACTCAGAAGTTAAGCTTTGAGAACAGAGAACAGTACCCATCCTGGCAGCCACCCTGTATTCACTGGTGACACATCCCTCTGTTATTGTGCTGTTATTACATATGCTCCTTTTCCAAAGTCCCAGATTACACATTTTGCTTCTGGGCTGCTGATGTCTCACTCTTAAATAAGATCCAAAGGGACAAAAGTCATCGTGACTGGTTTGTTAGTCTCAGTCCGTGAGGCCACCCCTTCCTTGGGGGAATAATTCCCACCTGTCTGAGCAGTTTTGGGAGTACACCCAGAGAGCAGGGTCGGTCAGCACACAGCCCACCACACTCATCACAGGAGACTCCAAGTCACTGATAAAGGCCAGGCAGGTATCTAGTCCTTTCACTCTGACTCAGAGCCCCATGCAAGTCCCTTACTGCCAGCCCCTTGCATGTGGATCAGGAGTGGAGGAAGGGCAAAGGGAGTGAGCTTCACCTTTATTGCCCCACGCCTCACTTTGCCCACCTTACACAGCATGGAAATGGAAGTGTTTTTAAAAATGTGGAAAGGAAGTGGCTCCTGCCAGGTGTCATTGTTTTAATTTTATATTCATAGATCTAGAAAGCAACGGCTCCAATCCATTCACATGGTGAAGCCCTTGTCCCTTATCACGGTGCAGCCTCCCTCCCATGCTTTGAGCACAGGTCAAGGGAGAGAGAGAGAAGAGGAAGAACTCTGGGGCCAATACCTTCTGCTAGAGTTAAAATGACCCTCCAGGATCAATGGTGTAGCTTCATCATAAACTACCGCCACCCCACCCCAAAATAAGGATGGATCTCCTACAGATTACAAATACTTGCTTTGTTCTTTAAACATTTTTTGCTAGACTCTGCTAATTGGAAATCAATGACTGTGATTTGACCAAGCCCTGTGATGATAGGAAAGTCCCTTCTTCTGAAGTCTCCCAAATGTTTGGGGAACCTTCCTGAACACTGGTAGGAAGCTTTAGAATAGAGTTAGATTTTTAGGGAAGAGCGCAATACACCCAAATACACTTGTGACTCCAATAACTGAAAATGCCCTGGGTGTAAAATAACCCAGGAATGTCGATGATATATGTAAAAATAAAAATGCCATTTATCAATATTTTCCTACAATACACCCTAAAATTCCTATTTTTGTAATTAATGGTTAGACGATGGTCAGCGTTTTGAACATATGCTCTCTGGAATAACCAGAGACTAGTATAGTTTCCAAAGCATTTTGTGTATCAAAATCTATATACTTAGAAGAACTCAGGATAAGAAGAAATTGCTAGGTCCCAAAGGGTTCAGGACTATCATCAAATGCAAAAGCTGAGTGGCCTACAGTCATCTTCTTCAAATGAGGGGCTGGGGAGTGAGGGAAACAGCAGTTATCACAAAACCTCTGTTGCCCTTAGCTCATGATAAAGTTAAAAAGAAGTCTACTTTTAAAAATTAAGCCATCTTTCAAATTGTTTTCTATACCAAATCTAAACTATTGAAATGAAATTCTAAAGCATCTTTAATGGTGTTGTTAGTGGAAATGCTGTCAGTAGGAAACACTGCTTTTTAGTGCCTGCTAAACAAGCAGAGGAGAAAGACAGACTGAAGAGAAAGAAGGGTTCTTCCTATATGACGCTAACCTTCAAATGACAGCCATTAGCTTGTAATTGAGCACTAATTCAAAAGCAATGTGGCAATGCTATCCAATTTCTAGAGATCTTTTGAAATACACTTTTAGCCACCATTTGGAGGTAAGTGCTTACAAAGGTTGTTAATGTTAATAAATGAATGTATAAAGTTACAAACTATGCATTTTCAAAGAGTAATGTTCATTTTGTGTCAAACCCAAGTAAATTCTTTTCGTAGAGACTTATCACAGCCACAAATTATTCAAGATAAACTTGAATGCATGTTATTATGGGAAGGTGGGACTGCCATCTATATTCTTCTAGCTGATATTTCTAAAGGCAGTGCATTGAAATTTCAGGCTCTAAACAAATTCAGCCATTAAGGTGAATTAATAGGAAATGGTTTATATTTTATTTCTTAAACAGAAAAAGGACATGTTGGCTGTTGCAAGATGTGCCCAGTTCTTTAGGGGTACGTGTTCTAGTAACATTGGATTAACAACCAAACAAAATTGCATAGAGTTAATTAGGGTCACATTGGATAAATACAATGTGGGTTGTATCTAGTGTGTTTAATTCTCTATCTAAGAAAAAAATTATTATTCAAAGGCTTTGGGTTGTATAGTTTCAAAGAACAAAATATAAAAATAGAATATTGTCATTTGGGGTGGTGAACACAATACAATATACAGATGATGTGTTACAGAATGGTACACCTGAAACCTTTAATTATATTAACTAATATCACCCCAATAAATTCAATAAAAAATGAAAAAATAAAATAAAATATTTCCTAGCAAAGCAAATTACTGATCTTTTTTTCAAAATTACATGGAGATGATTACTTATTTGGGGGGAGGACATTTATATGGAATATACACATGTTTCTTCACCCCTATGTTGATTTTGTATCTTCATGAAAACTTTTCCACTAATAATTGATCTTTGCTCCTTAATCAATGCTGTATTACATTACATGACATGAAAAAACAGTCCTTTCCTTCATCTGACAATGTGGAAATAGAGAAATCCGTTACTCTACAGTCTATTTCCTTCTGTGTTCACTGAGAATGTTTCTCAACTGTTTGTATGTAAAATATTGGGAAACACACTTGTAGACCTGGTACTTATGTTTGGTTATATAGGTATGTTTGCTACCCATTTAGAAGTCTTGCAGGATGTCTTTTTATATTATTTTTAGCCAAATTCAAATGTTCTGATGCTACATTTCTGAATACCTAGCCAACTGTAAATATAGCCTGTGGAGGTTCAGGTTCATACACCTTTTAGTGACTGTTCCTCAGCCATGCTCCTGGCCAGCTTTTGGCACATTGTACATAGATTTGTCAAATGTTTAAATGATGTTGTTTTTCTAAATGCTGTTCTCCGAAACAAGTTTTTTGATTTTTTTTTTGGGGTGGGGGGGGGGGGGGGGGGGGGGTTTCCATAGTTTGGGACTTTGTGCTTAAAAAAAAAATTGTTTTCTAAATACTTAACACCAGGAAAAATATTTCAAATAAACTGGTGCTAATTGAAAGAGAAGAGAAATGTCAGATTGAAGATGTACAACATAAAATGTTCATACCAGTTAAACTAAACTGCACTTTCCTGAGGGGACAGCTGGCATCTACCTGCAGTGGGCATCAGGAGGACCGCTACATGTTTACAGTTCCTGTGGCCCATTTAAGTGTGAAAATATAGAATTGGTGCTGTCCCCCTGAGTCAAGGATTCACCACATTGGTCCCATGAAAAAATTTAAGTAGAAGTAAAGGTTTATAGTAAGAATCATGTTAATAATAGTCTTCTGGTCTTTGGAGTTTCATGTCTGTAATGCTTCATGTGAAAATGAACCTGGTGTTGCTAGTCTAGTCTGACGTCCTCGTTGACCTGTACTCACTGCGTGTATGGTTCTAGCTTGGGCTGCAAAGGCATGTGCCAAACCAGAGCACAGGACTGTCATTAGACCAGCCTGACTTCTGCAGTGTCCACACAGAAGAACTTAAATGCACTTGTAACTGGTTAATTACCATGAGGTCTGACTTTCACGTAATAAAAGTTTTTGTGATCTGCTTCTATTTGGGCACTGTTTATTGAAGTAAAGGGTAACTTATACCCAAGAGAGCTCACTGGGGTTAGAGGATTTGAGGTTTTACCTACAATGGTAAAAATCATTTACAACCAAATGGACATCTTCCCCCATGTCAACTGTTCAAAGCTATCTTTAAAAATGTGGAAGACACATCTCTCTTCTAGAGTTCAGCCCTGGTGATCACAGCTCAAACCTATCCCCTGGCAACGTCTTCTCAGACATGTTAGCTGTTCACCCTGTGCACTGGCCCTGTGGTCCCAGGACTGTAGACACAACCTGGCAAGAGAAGGCAATGTCCATCCTTGTGGCAAGCTAGCCTAGAGACCCTCCCCTAGTCCACTAAAATATGAAATATTTGCCTGCAAAGGACAAGCATATGGATATGTGCAACAAGGTAGCAGGCTTTACGGAACAGACGTAGGCACAAAACCAAGTTTGCCTCTTGTGAGGTAGGTAACTGGACAAGAGGTTTAACCTTTATATGTCTCGTCCTTATAATAGGAATGATAATGAAGGAGAAGAAAACTGATTAGTCTGGCTTAGCTGGGATGGAGGGGATGATGACTCATGGCCTATTGCCTGGTTCAGAGACATTCCTATGTTGAGAGACTATTGTGAGAATTACTGGAAATAACATCGCTGTACACAGAGAGTATTTCCCAAATGGAAGCCCAATACTTAAATACTGGAACCTGCAAATGTCCAGGATGAGTGCCTTCAAATAACAGAATTTTCTCTTTAATTTCTTAAGAAGATTCTTTCTGAAATAAGAATGCACTGCATTAGTAAACTGCTTATATGCCGCAACGAATGTTTTCTTGGTTACTCCTGGCCATGATTATCTCGTCAATTAATAAACTGAGCAGTGGAGACAAGAGTTTTATAACTCAGACTATTTGAGAACTAGAGGGTCATGCACTTGGATACCTACTGCCTTCTTCCACTCCACCTCCAGCCTTGACCCGGCTCCTAGCCATCGAACCTCTATGATCTCCTTGTATTTAGCACAGGGAACACTGAGCCTTTTGACCTTTCCTGAGATGCCATGGTACTGAAGTAAGATAACTTTGCTCCTACATGCTAGACCAGGGGTCCTCAACCCCTGGGCCATGGACCAGAACTGATCCATGGCCTGTTAGGAACCAGGCCACACAGCAGGAGATGAATGGCGGTGAGCAAGCCGAAGCTTCATCTACATTTACAGCTGTTCCCCGTCATTATGGCCTGAGCTCAGCCTCCTGTCAGAGCAGCAGCAGCATTAGACTGTCATAGTAGCGGGAACCCTACTGTGAACTGTGCATGCAAGGGATCTAGGTTGCGTGCTCCTTGTGAGAATCTAATGCCTGATGATCAGAGGTGGAGCTGAAGTGTGATGCTACTGTTGGGGAGCAACTGCAAATACAGATGATCATTAGCAGAAAGGTTTGACTGCACAGAGACCATAATAAATCAATTGCTTGCAGACTCATATCAAAACCCTATCAGTGAATGGAAAGTGACAATTAAGTGGCACGCTATAAAGCCATCCCCCTGCCTCCCCAACCCATAAAAAAATTGTCTTCCACAAAACCGGTCCCTGGTGTCAAAAAGATTGGAGACCACTGTGCTAGACAGTGTGCTGATTCTTACATAGGATCATCTCATTGAAGTCTCACAGCAGCTCTGCATGTGGGACTATCTGTGCTGGAAACTAGCTGCACATGTCAGACATGGTTGGTATCGAGTAATAGTCCCACTCAAACTAGATAAAGGAAACAAACACAAGTAGGGGATTACTGGAAGGGCACAGGGTGTTGTAGGATCCATGGTCAGATAATATTGCCAGGCCTTGTGGAGTCCTAGAACCAAGATCTAGACATTATACAACCACACCCCACCTGTCCGGTTTCACCCCCCAGCCAGCCCCCATGGAGCTGCGGGATCATGGCCTCCCTCTTCTCTGTGAGTCTCTTTTCTGCTCACTTTGCAGACCTGCCTCTGTGCTTCCCTAGCATGTGGTAGAAAATGGTCCCAGGGTCCACAATGAACTCAGTACATGTGGTCAAGAGTGGGCTAGAATCTTGGCACACTGATTCCAAACTCAGGACTCAGTGGCCTGGCTTGGGTGAGATAGCTTCCCTGGATCCATCAACTGGGCTGAGGGTAGGGTGATGTCAGGGGTTATGCGGGAGAGTCTCTAATAAAAAAGTGTGAGGTTGGGAAGGAAGTGCTAGGGGAAGGAAATAATTGGCATGCTTATGTAGTAGAGTATATAAAAGTCAGTTTTTCTTACTAATAAATATAATCATAGAATTTACATCCAAGGACATATTAAAGACTATCTAATTTAAGTCTTTTATTTCAATAATGAGATTCATGACCCGTGAATATCACTTTACATTTATGATTCTTGTTTGATGCTAGTTTGTTTTCATATGGTTTTATTATTTGCCTGTTTTCTGAAAGACAAGGTTGTTTATTCTCTTAAACATAACTACATAGAGGCTAGGGAATAGGACCACTGGAGCAAAATTACCTGAGTTCAAATCCCAGCACTGCCATTAACTAGCTGTGTGACCTTGGGGAGGTTAAGTAACCTCTCTGTGCCTCAATTTTCTGCTCCATAACATGTGGGTAACAATATGACTTCCCTCATTTGAGTATTGTGAATTTTAAATGAGTTAATATGAGTTAAGTGTTTAATGTGGTACTAAGAATATACTAAGAATATAAAAATATTAAATGAATCATCAACAGGGTCATTATTCAAATAGTTTGAGACAAATGCATTAGCCATCTTGAACCATTAGAGCAAGAACCATTAAGTTGCAGTAAAGCTGAAAGTATATATATATAAGATAATTTTCAAATTTTTCTAACTTAGAATTCTCTGCACTATAAAAGTACAGACAAATAGAAAGAAAATCACTGATAATTACAACTCAAAAATAAGCACAGGTAGAGTGATGCATTTTTTTCAAACGATTTCCATGCGTATTTATTTGCATAGTTGCAATCACACTGTATGTATAATTCAGCATGTTGCTTTTTGTCAATTAACATTATATGTGTTCTCCCATGTCATTAAATATTTTCCAATGCCTCCATCTTAATGCTGTATAATAACCCAGCATGTAGATATACACAATATCCTGAAATATTCCCCTATCTGGATAACATAGGTTTTCAATTTTTTAAAACATTTTAAAATATGTTTATTGATTTCAGAGAGAGAGGAAAGGGGAGAGGGAGAGAGAGAAACATTGATTGATTGCCCCCCATACTCGACCTTTTGGTGTATGTGACCACGCTCCAGCCAACCAAGCCACACTGGCCAGGGCTTGTTTCCAATTTTAATCTCTTCTAAACTCTTGCTATTGGTTGCCAAATTACTATCCAAATGATTTGGCTCAGTTTACTCTCCTAACAGCAAAGTGAATGAGTGTCTTGGCTATTTGTTCACCTGATACGAGGATTATCATGTTTTAAATCTTCACTAAGTTGACAGACATTTTGTTTTAGTTTATATTTCCTAAATACTAGCTAATATTAAGCATTTTTCTATGTCAACCACTGATCATTTCTGTTTATACTATGTCTATTCACATCCTCTGCCTCTTTATCTTTTGGATATTAATCTGCCCTCATAGATTAGTAGGAGCTTTTTATATTGTTAGGATGTAAACTTCTGTCTTATTTGCCAGAAGAGTTTCACCAATTTATGTGCATTTTAAATTCAGTCATCAATTACATGCAAATTTTTAAAATCTTTGTATCATCAAATTTATATTGTTCTTTAAAATTTTACTTCTTAGACCCCTCAAATTCGATTAGAAAATATTTCCTTATATTTCCTTTCGGCTTTTATTTACACAATCACTTTTACTATCTAGAACATTTTGGTATAGGAAAAGTGTACTTTTCCTTTTCAGGTATCTGGGTATTTGTCCTGGTCTCCTTAATGATTAACTCAGCCCAACCAGTCTTCCAGATTTACATCACCATTAGTTACTGAATTGTTCGTCGGCAGGATCGCCTCAAAGCTCCCTTGTCCCTGATTAAACTCAGTCAACCCAAGTCATCTCCTCCCTCCTTTTCCTTTGTGTACTTGGCCATGATTAGTCCTGGGGATGGTGAGGACAGTCTCTGGTCTCACAAAGTCATGTGCTGTCATCTGCTAAGGACAATGTCCTTCCCTGTGGTCTTTTGACTTACACTGCTATCATCCCACCATATGCTCTTCCCCCCCCCCCAATATTTCAATTACAATGGACATTCCATATTGTATTAGTTTCAGGAGTACAGCATAATGGTTATACATTTATGTAATTTATGAAGT